GCCTTAGGAAGTAATTAGAAATACAGGCAGACATTGGTACACAAATGTGTTTATGGTAGGATTGTTTATAACATTGAAAAATTGGACACAACGGAAATGTTCAAGAAGAGAGAAATGAGTTAGTAAATTATGATTTATTCCTGTCAGACTGCCCTCGAAACTTTACAGAATCTACTTAATGACAAAATTGTGGTGATACCTCGAGTAAGACAAAGGTAAAAAATTGTGTGTACTAGAGTTCACCTCTAGTTTTTTTGTGTGTGTGTGGTCTTATTGAAGATACACTACTTAGAGAATTGGTAGACCTGGCCTTTAAAACATGGAATGTGCTCTCCCCTCCTTGGAGGCAGTCCCTTACTATTTCAGATTTATTTATTTATTATTTTTATCTATTTATTAGATTTTATTTATTTGTCAGAGAGAGAGCACAAGCAGGGGGAGCGGCAGGCAGAGGGAGAAGCAGGCTCCCCGCTGAGCAGGGAGCCCGATGCGGGACTCAATCCCAGGAACCTGAGGTCATGACCTGAGCCTAAGGCAGACGCTTAACCGACTGAGCCACCCAGGCATCCCTTTTTTTTAAAGATTTTGTTTATTTATTTATTTGACAGAGAGAGACACAGTGAGAAAGGGAACACAAGCAGGGGGAGTGGGAGAGGGAGAAGCAGGCTTCCTGCGGAATAGGGAGCCCGATGTGGGGCTGGATCCCACCACCCTGGGATCATGACCTGAGCTGAAGGCAGACGCTTAACAACTGAGCCACCCAGGCATCCCCCTTACTACTTCAAATGCAGAGACGCAGACACTTTAAAAGCAACAACTTGCTGCCTTTTTTTTTTTTTTAATTTAAATAATCTCTACACCCCCAACATCGGGCTCAAACTAATGACCCTGAGATCAGGAGTCACGAGCTGTTCCGACTGAGCCAGCCCAGGCCCCCCAACAGCAGCAGCTTGCTTCTTACCTGCCACAAGCTGACCTTGGTTGGTTAGGGTTTAGCAGAGTGTTTAAGAGCAGTTGCTGGAAGCCTGTGTCACACTGTCGGTTTAAGGATTGGTTCTAGGTCAGAATTCTGAGGCTCTGCTGGCAAAAAGGGTGTAGGGAGTTGTGTTCATAAAGCAGTTTAAAGCTATGATTACGGGGACGCCTGGGTGGCTCAGTCGTTAAGCATCTGCCTTCGGCTCAGGTCATGATCCCAGGGTCCTGGGATCGAGTCCCACATCAGGCTCCTTGCTC